TAGGCAAAACTATATCCTCCTGTTTTTAATTTCTTTCTATTACATTTTTAAAGACATTTAGAGCATGTTTGGTGAAGTTTTTATTTTTATTTTTTGTACTGTTTATAAATAGTAAATTTAAGTTTTTATTGGATGAAAAATTTAAAAATTACTTTTAGAAATAGAAAAAATTAAGTAAAAAGAAAGTTTATAAAAAATACAAATTTAAAATTTTTTAAAATTTATTATTTAAGATCTTTTTAAAGTTAAAAAAATTAAAAATAAATAAGTTTTTTTTAAAAAGAATTTAACTTATAAAATATAAATAATAAAAAAAAAAAAACTAAAATTCTTGCCGGTTATCTCAAACTTACTCTTAGACTAGTGTTGACCAAGTGATTGACTAGTAAAGAGCGAAAGCCATCATTCAAACGTGATTATTAGGAGTCATTTCAACGAGTTGACATAATTTGAATAGGTAAGTTTGCTTTCTCCCCATAAAAAAAAAAAAAAAAAAAATTAGCTTTCCTTCTCTTTTGTTAACCAAAGTTCAATCTAACCTTGATATTAGACGAGGTAATTAATTTCTTACAGAATTCTAATTTGATGCAAGTTGATCTAATGAGACATTATTCGTCTCATAAAACAGTAAATGGAGAATTGAAGTGATTAGAGCTTGAGAAAAAAAAGTGTTATTGTGGGGAAAATTCACATTAAAATAATAAAAAGAAGGATAATGATGTATGCACATCTGGATTTCACTATAAACAAAAAAAAAAAAAAAAAAAAAAAACCATCACCCAATTCATCCTTCTTTTTTATGTGGAGGGTACACACCCGGGTGTGGGATTCGGGTGTGCACCAATCAGTGTCCCAAAAAGAAATGTGTATGCTTAAATATGAGATGTGTTATTTTATATATTGCTAATGAGCAGTTTTTGTATTTCAATGAAATAAATGAGGAACTAAATATAAAGAATTAACTATACATTTAACAGTATGAATATAGAAAAAGTGTTATACAATTTAATATAATTTAGACTAT